CTTAAATCACTATTGATTGATTATTGCAATATTTGTTTTTAATTTTATTAAGTATACATATACTTAAATCCTGCATATCGTAACATGTATTGTTTATTTTATTATTATTTAAACACACATCCTTAAATCTCTATTTATTGATTATTGTACAATGCATTGCTAATTATATTATTTGTATTTATACTGACCATTGTAAAGTGCCCTTAGGTTATTAATATTAAGTGTGCACATGCTAAAATCACTGTTTATCGATTGTTGTTAACTTTATTGTTAGGTGCATTAAGTATGCATATGCTTAAAAACAGTAAATTGCAAAATGTCATGTCACTCTATATATTGAGTTGAGTGTGCATCATATCATGCATGTCTTCAGCGGTGTTCGTTGTGTCTGTGTGCAGAAGAGGACTGTCGCAGGAGATGGAAGAGCTTGCGGGACATGTTCATCAAAGACAAGCGTGCGGAGCAGCGCCGGCGAGCCTCGGGAACGTCCCACCGCAGCTGGAAGTACAGCTGGCAGATGTCATTCCTGACGCCCTTCATCCAGTCCCGATCGCTGGCCTCCGACGAGCCCGAGGAAGACCGAGACGAAGAGGACAAGGAGGAGGAGACGACGGCGGACGGGAACTCCTCATTTGTGGCGCAGGACTTTGAGGGCGATCACGGGATGCTGGACGGATCCTCGCACTACTCGGCGTCGGGATCGCAGGGTTCGGGACGCAAGAGGAAGTGGCAGATGGAGGCCAACGAGGACTTGGAGGACGAGATGTTCTTGTTTAGTTTACTGCCGTATCTCAGGCGGCTGCCTTACGCCAAGAAGAGCGCCGTCAAATTAAAAATCCACCAGCTGTTGTATGAGGCGGAGTTTAAGTGATGTTCTATAGTTTCTTAATATTTTTCTATCTTTTATTGAAATTCTATCCACTGCGTTTTTTAACATTCATAACATATTGTATCGATGCTGGTAGATGTTTGTTTCATCAGAGATCAATGATTAAACAGACATGTGCACTACGAGAGTGACGTTTTACTCTTTTATGAAGCTGCGTCTCAAAAAGATGAGTGCTAAAACATTCAGTTTGGGTGTATTATTTCACTAGTAGTATTATTTTAATATAATTAAGATACTTTTGTATAACTTTTTCATATATACTTATATAACTTATATATATATATATATATATATATACTTTTTTAACGTTTGTTTATATTAATACTTTCAATTAGTTTTTAGATTTAACATTTTAATTTGAGCAATTTTGTTGTTTTTGACATTTTTAGTAGTTTTTTTATGTCTGCATAGTTTTTATTCTTTTATTTCAGTTTTAGTTTTCAGTACATCAACTAATTTTAAAATAAAAAATAGAATTTTTGTTTTTTTTATATTTTATCTTCAGTTAACATTTATTTCAGTTAATTAATTGTATTTTATTATTATTTTAATTAACTGTAATAACCGTAGTCTATAGTGAGCCATCAGGGTTTTACATTTTTTTTTTTCATAACACTTTTAACTAAAACTCGAATAATTTTCGTCTGAAATTTTCTTACGAGTTTTTTTTTTTTTCGTATTCGTCATCCTTTCCTATCAAAATGCTTGCTATGGATGTGAAAATGCAGAAAATCAAACCTGATCCGAATTTTCTTTATGACGGACGGAAGTTTCGGAGGCAGTGTGTAAACGTGATTGACACAACATGAGGTTGTATTTATTTTTTAACATGCAAAAATTTTAGATAAGAATTTTGGACTCAGTATGCAAAGACCTTTGGACTTATTATGCACATTGATACCTTGATTAAATATAAATTTTTTTTGTGATCTGAGGATAAATTGATTAATTATAGCTATTGAATATTATCATTTTTAATGTTTAATATGTAATGGGCTAAACTTTCAAACATTAAATCTTTTAGATGTTTTTAAATCATCTATTAACAATGTCATAGCAGAATCAAATCTTTTTACATTTAACTTCTAATATCACACAAACCCTTCATACATACAACTTTCCTACAAATATATTTGATAACAGTTCATTCGTTTTTTTTTTTAATTTATACGCATTCAATTTCATACTAAATAATTAATTATAAAAAACATGGATCTGTCTAAAATATTAATACTTAAATATATAAACATTTTAGTATTTATGGTAATATTGGTTGTGCTGCCTTCTAAAATAAAAGAAATGGTTTATAACAAATTTTTAAATGCAATGTGTAGCATTAGTTAAGAAAATAGTATGCAGTACACAGTATATACTGTACACTATTCCATAAACATTAAAAAATGCCTTTATAAATTGTAGTACAGAAAATGCATTCAAAATACTATGCATACTGTGCTTTGTATATTCCATACTTCTAAAATGGCACGTGTAGTGCGGTAGTGTGTTATTTGCGACACGGCCCGAGTGTTGTGTCGTGTCCGGCTGATCTGCGCAGGTCCTGAGTGGATGTTCTCTGGATCTGCCCTCGCTTCCTGTAGTTCTTTCCCACCTTCCCACCCAAGCAGCCAACCAACCTGCCCCGTCTCACATTATCCGCGAATTTAGACGCCAAAAGGCTGCCAGACGCGCTCGAGCTCGCATTGAGGTAAGATGCATTTGGCGCACCGCCACTGTTACTTTGTATCTTTGATCCATTATGACGTGCTGTCTGTCCATTATGACGCAGGCGCGTCTGGAAATCAGTGCGAACGCCGCGTTTCTCTCTCTCTGTGCTGTGTTGTGTTCAGCTTGTTGTGTGCGACTGTTTAGGGCACAGCTTTTCAGTGTCGTCGGCACGTTTAGCTGTGTTTCTCGCTGGTTTTGACGCGGAACTCTGAGGTTGTGTGTTGTGTGACTGCAGCTGGATGTGTACTGGCGTGTGTCAGTGATGTGAATGGATGAGATGCTTGTGTTTGAGTTGTTGTTGAGGAGGGATGCCCTGCTCAGTATTGTTATGCAGGACTGTGTGTGTGTGTGTGTGTACTCTTCCCACCAGAGAAAACTGTTGCAGTGCTTTAACATACATGTGTCCCAACATTCAGGTAGCTTTGTTATTATCATCATGAAGTTTGTTGTCAGAGTGAAAAACTTGTCAAAAACATGTGCAGATCATATTGAGATTCATATTCATGATATTCAGGTTCAAACTCAAAAGGAAGAAAGGAGAAACTATCTTTTGCAAAAAAGTCATGGACATTTGTATAGTAATTGTATTGTTTTATGCTCAGTTCTAAAATATGTAAGTGTTTAATAATTTCACATTTAATCATGTTTCACCAAAACTCAAGAGTATATACTCAAAAGTATATTTTGAGTTATTATATAAAATTAAATTAAGTATAAAAAAGAAAAACCATTAAGATTTAGCATTTTTATGACATTATACATTTTATCTCTCTCTCTCTCTCTCTCTCTCTCTCTCTCTCTCTCTCTCTCTCTCTCTCTCTCTCTCTCTCTCTCTCTCTCTCTCTCTCTCTCTCTCTCTCTCTCTCTCTCTCTCTCTCTCTCTCTCTCTCTCTCTCTCTCTCTCTCTCTCTCTCTCTCTCTCTCTCTCTCTCTCTCTCTCTCTCTATATATATATACTCTAATCTAAATTATAAAAAATAAAATAAAACAAATGTGGAAATTACAAAATATTTTTAAATCATTGTGCCATTTATAAGACTTTTTATTTTTCTTTATGCAAAATATTATTTCGATGAATTTATGTCATCAAAGAGTGAAAAACGCGTAGAACATATTTTACCCCAAGCTCAAAAGAAATAAATTAAAAACTATATTTTACACTCTATGAAATTAAATGAAAATGATTTTTAAAACTATTAAAATGTTGCATTTTCAGGACACTATTTTTAAGTACATTTCCCACCAAATTTATATTATTGTAAAAAAAAAAAAAGCTTATATATAAAATGTTATAAATCATTGTATCATTTTCAGACTCATTTTACGTTTATAAATATATCAGTATAATAATTTCTTATTATATTATATTGTATTATATTGGGATGCAATGTAATCTCTCTTGGGAAAAAAGGAAATTTAACATTATAATTTTCAGCCCTTGAAAAGTCATGGAAATTTCTATATGCATTATGTTGTTTTAGTTATGCTAATTTCTAAAATATTTAATCAGAAATCGCTGTTTATGAGTCCAAACTCATTAAGAGCTTTTGTTCCTCTTTTGTATGTCACTTTGAATAAAAGTGTCTGCCAAACACGTAAATGTAAATGCAAACTCTAAAATGATTTGTTCAAACCCTTCTGTTCCCCATCATGGAAAGGTATTGGTGATGCAGGAATGTTTTGGTCTACTGTGTGTCTCAGAGCTCTGCTGCAGCGCTGCAGCTCTTCTCCTCATCTGTCCTCTGATATGTTGCTGTTTGACTAGCTGCTGACCCAGATTGTAAATGTTTCACTGAAATGCCCTTGTCTCTTCTCTTGATGTTGAAGCATCCACTCCGGCTGATATACTGTGTCTGGGAATGACTTCAGTTCAGCTCATCTCTGCTGGCTGGATCCGTGCACCTGGCTTACTGATTAATTCCCCCCCATAGTTTGCTGTAATACTTCATCAGCCGTTCCAGGACATAGAAAAATGAGAATATGTGTCCGAGAGGGTCGACGCTGAAAGTTCAGCCATGTTTCACAGGGCTTTTCCACTCAAAACATGGAAATGTTTATCTCCCCGTACATGCCGTTATACAGTTGGCCATAGACTGCCAGGCGCTCGCAATGAAAAATGCAATGAAATAGGAATTTAATTGAAGCTGACAAAATGATTTTTTCCCTCAAGCCTAAAAGCAGCCAAACCAAAAGTGTCAGAAAGAGAGAAAAACTTTTTTTTTCTCGCAAAATACTGTAGCCTTTTTATATAGAAAACACTTTTTGGTCACAGACAGTACAAGCCCAGTTAAGAATAAATCATGGACTGTAATGGTACAGAGCATTGATTTTTCTTTTCTTTTCTCTTTAGTATTGCGAGATGAGCATTGAAAGTCACTGTTCGAGTCTTACTTCTCAGATTTTTATAAGGCATTTTTGAGCAAACATGTTCAAGTCATAATAACCCAAAACTATTATGATATTTTGTTTTATGACAAAAGGCCTGTTTTAGGACTTTAAGGAAGTCATTACAATGTTGACATGACAATTAAACACATTTGTGACCCTGGAGCATATACAGTGTGTGTATATATATACTGTATATATATATGTGTGTGTGCATATATATATATACTATATTATACTGTATATATATTATACTGTATATATATATATATGTATATACTGTATATATATATATATATGTATATACTGTATATATATATATATATGTATATACTGTATATATATATATATATGTATATACTGTATATATATATATATATGTATATACTGTATATATATATATATATGTATATACTGTATATATATATATATATGTATATACTGTATATATATATATATATGTATATACTGTATATATATATATATATGTATATACTGTATATATATATATATATGTATATACTGTATATATATATATATATGTATATACTGTATATATAT